AGCATGAGGAATTTATAATGGCAATGGATGACTTGGCCCCGGACATTATGGCTATAAATGAAACATGGTTGAGAGCTGGAGAGGGGGACAGAGCTCCTAAACTGGCCGATTACCGGCTGAGGCACACTCCAAGGCCAAGCCATATCAAAAATGGGCTTGGGGGTGGGGTAGGCTTCTACGTACGCAGAGGTATGAATGTGAGGCCTTGTTCTCACCCTAGCAATGTGGCATCGGTGGAACAGATGTGGGTTTCCACGCGCCTACTCAATAAGGTCATAGTTATTGGCACAGCTTACAGACCACCCTGGCAAGACCCAGAACTGTTCCTTGACGCTATAACTGAGTCTATTGCCTCCTTCACCTGGGCAGATGGACTGATTTTGACTGGAGACTTCAACATAAACCTGCTTGATGAGGGCAGTAGTAGATGCAGGGAGCTAATGCAGTGTATACGCAGTCAAAATCTCAAGTAATTAGTGACTGAACCAACACATCACACTGAGCATAGTGCAACACTGATTGATGTGATTTGCACAGACTTGCCAGCACTCCGGGTAGTAGTGAAAGAGCTTGTGGAAGCTTTCACACAATGCGTCATGGGACTAATGAACTTACATGCCCCAATAAGGACACGTAAATTTAAGCACCCCCCGCATCCTTGGATAACTGATACCATCAAGGAGATGATTCGTATTCGAGACAATTACCACAAAAAGTACCTAAAGCAGAAAACCTCAGTCCTCAGAAACAGTTATAAAACTATGAAGTGCCTTGTCTTGAATGCAATTGAACGTGAGACCTTCTTTTTTACAAAATAAATAAATAATAATTTGAACAGCCCCAAAACCCTGTGGAAGAACCTAAAAAGTACAATTCTGCCGAATAAGAAGAACATTGCGGACCTCCCTTCATCGCTCAATGACCCAGATCTAATCAACACGCACTTCCTGAATGTACCAGGCGAGGACAATGTTACAATCTCACAACTTACTTTTTATGAGCACCATAGGCATGAAAACTCTGCTACGTTTTCACTGCACACTGTTAATGAAGACTTAGTCCTCAAGACCATAAAGGACCTGAGATCAAATGCACAAGGGAACGATGGTCTGTCTTTGGACATGCTTTTGCTCACATTGCCTTACTCGCTGGGGGCCATTACTGCGATAGTTAACCGGTCAATACTCGACAGTGTATTTCCAGAGAACTGGAAGGTTGCAATTGTGAGACCGTTACCTAAGACAAGTCAGCCTGGTACAGTTCAGGAACTTCGTCCTATAAGCATCCTGCCATGCCTGTCTAAGATATTGGAAAGAATAGTGTGCAGCCAACTTACTGACTATCTCGAAGCACAGAACATCCTCCCACAATATCAGTTTGGCTTCCGGAAATGGCATGGTACGGCAACTGCTCTAGCAGACGTGGTCGACAATTTGTTGGCTGCTCAGGATAGGGGGATGCTAACGATTCTTACACTGCTGGATTTTTCTCGAGCCTTCGACTCGATCAATACATCCCTGCTGCTATCTAAACTGAGATATTATGGCCTTGACAGTAATTCAGTGAAATGGTTCCACAGCTATCTGACACGACGACTGCAATATGTAGAGCTAAAGCAGATGGATGGTACTTCACTGAGGTCACAACCACAAATCGTTACTCGCGGAGTTCCTCAAGGGTCAATATTAGGGCCAGTCTTGTACATCCTTTACAGTGCCGATATTATTAACACCATTGCAAATTGTCGTCATCATCTGTACGCTGATGACCTGCAAGTGTACCTCTCTTTTGCACCGGCTGATTGTACCAGTGCTGTAGCGGGGGTGAACGAGGACCTGGACAGCATCTCTGCCTGGTGCAGTTCAAACTGTTTGTCAATTAACCCCAAAAAGTCGCAATTCATGATCATAGGTTCGCCAAAGAATATTGCTAAACTTAAAGATATAACTTTAAATATTCATATAAATGGAGAACCTTGGAGAAAGGGTTGACACAGCCAGAAATCTAAGACTTCATGGATTGCAACTTAAAATTCGAAAAATATGTATCGGAATGTGTTAGAAATAGTTTTTACCGGCTAAAACTCCTTTATAAGTTGAGACCCTACCTGAGTGAGAGACTGAGAATCACCCTCTGCGAGTCCTTGGTCCTCAGCAGGTTTAATTACTGTGACTCAGTGTATGGTCCATGCCTCTTATCAAGAACGTCCAGGCTTATTCAGAGAGTGCAAAATGCATGTGCTCGTTTCTGCTTTACAGTTCCACCTAGGTCACATGTTACGCCATATCTCAATGACGCAAACATGCTGAGGATGGAGGCACGCAGAAGATTACATTTGACTACTATGATGTTCGGAGTTATCACTACAAAAAAATCGAAATACCTCTTCCTAAAGCTGGAGTGGGCCCGTGATCACAGCAGATACCCCAGGAGGGCGTGTACCCACGTTTTTGCCACTCCAAAACATCGCACCATGGCGTTTCGGGGCTCCTTCAGGTTCGCTGCGTCACGGTGTTGGAACGACCTGCCTCCGCCTTTGCGTGTCCTACAAGTGAGAAACACGTTTAAAACTCACGTAAAAAAATACCTTATCTCACTGCAAAAGGCGGGTGGTGCTGATACACTTACCATGGGGTGCTCACGTCGCGCACTGGCGTTGGCGGGCCCGTCCCACCGTAAATAATTCCAGCAGTCGCAAATAATACCAGATGTATGGTACATGGTATTTGTTTGGACTGTTTTATTTTTCTTTTCTTTTTCGGATTCGTTCGTTCGGTTAGGACTTGGAACAATTTCTTTTTTATGTTTGTTGGAATGGCCACTAATTTAGTTTTAGTTGTTATTTAATAGTCTAGAATTTAATGTAATTTAAGGGAATGTTGTTGATTGTTTATTTGTTTGCTTATTTCAAAATTCCATTTAATATCGATCACTATTATAAATATTTTTAACCTTTTATTATCTCTTTTGTGTTTTTAACATTGTTTTTTTTTTGACAACCATGATTACAATCATTAAAGCGTCCCCGTATTGTGCACCCTTTCGAGAGACACCCAAGTCACATAAATACATTCATATAATAATTACTACATTTTAAGTTAGTGTATTCTCGAAAGGATGTACAATTCCAACAATAGGTGTCCGCGGAAGACCAGCGTCTTGACATGCTCCTTGCGAGCATGTCATGACAAATGCTGAGCGGAAGCCTGTTTTGGCACAGTATTAGTGTATAATATATAATTTAATGTTAACCATTTGTATATGTGCATGCACTGCTGTGTCAATAAAGTTTATTTTCTTTCTTCTTTCTTTCTTTCTTTCTTTACTATTGTACCATACAATTTCTTGTTTGTAATGCCTAGAGTATTTTTCTATGTAACGGGATAGAGCACTGAACGAAATATAAACTATACATAATTGATTGGAAATCCTGGAATATGAAAAACGTATCCAATGAACGGTAATGTTCTTTAACTATCCTGCAAATGACTGTCAAAGAAACAGTCACTGCACCTGATGTGAAACATCACCAACTATCCTGAAAAGGACTGTTGGAGAACCACCCGCCAAATGTAAATGTTCTTTAACTATCCTAAAAATAACTGTTGAAGAAACAATCGGTGCATTTAATGTGAATGATCACCAATTATCCTGAGAAGGGCTTTTGGAGAAGCAGCCACCCACCAAATATGAATGCTCTTCAACTATACTATATGGAGTGTCAAAGAAACAATCGCTTCATATGCTAAATATCATATGAAGTTAACTATTCTGATATGGACTATTATTAAAATAGTTGCTACTTGAATATTCTTCAACTATGCCAAAGAGGACTGTCGAAGAAGCAAGCGGTAGACAGATACGCTTTTGTATTAATGGTGATAATTATCAGTTATTAGTGGTTAATACTGGTAAAAACTGGTAATCATTGGTTATAAGTGTTCAAACTCGTAATTATTGGCTATCAGTGGTTGACAAGTGGTTAACACTAGTTATATTATAATAGCGTCAATGCTGGGTTAAAAACACTTGTTATATGTTACTACTAACTAGTGAGTACCAGTTAATACTTAATAATTATTGGTTATTAGTCATTATATTTTGTCAATATTTGACATTATTGGTTGGTGGTGATCGATAGCGGTTAACATCGCTTATTATCGGTTATTAATAGTCAGTACTAGTTAACATCGATCTTTATTGATTACTAGTGTGTAGAGCTTGTAAATACGGATCAAGGTATTGATCGCCGACTTATATCCACCTTGTAATATATATTCAGAAAACAGGACATATGCATATAATTGTAGAGATATCCAGACATTCTCATAACTCCATCCTATACGGCCATACGTGCATTGGTAGTACTGTGGACACTAGTATGTTTACATAACTAGTTGACTTATTTGGATTAAGGGAATAAAGCGCTTCACACTCTACGACCACCTCAATCCAATTGGGTCAACTATCCCACCTAACTAGTTAACCTATTTGGGTGAACGAACCTGACCAATCGATGGGGTGACTTCCCCCCGAATTCTGTATTAGGGTAGTTGGTATTTTCTAATAAATGTGGGAGCAGGGGATGTTCTTTAACCATCGGTGTACATATATCACTTATGTTTATAAGTATTATGTTGTTTTCCGACACCCTGCCTAGCTAAACAGAGATAGCCATGTATCGGAAGTTCGATGGTCTGTATCTCGAAAACTAGCGACTTTCTGACCTCGAGCCCATTGGAGCATTTGATCAGAATATCAAGAAGAACAACATACTGAAGTTTCAGTGTAATTGACCGGGAACCAATATCCATTAGGATGGTGCGGGGTCCTTTGCTGTAAGCGCATCATGGAATTGTTAAGTTGATTTTGTAATGCTGATTTAGTACTTGCAATAAATGGAAATATAATGAGAATTCTACCAACTTGTACAACATAGCAGTATGGTAGAAACTTTGACATGAAGTATGACCTTTAATTTTCTATATTTTGTTTTACAGGCTAGCAAGTCGAAAACTTCAACAGATGGAGTTGTTGTTAATTGTCAATACAGCATGGCCACGTTTTCAACAGGTAATTATGAATGTTGAACAAATGCAGTGATTCATAAACTTTTAAGGCATCTAAGCAAATGATAGGGTTCTGTACCCAAAGGGTAAAATTGAGCCCTATTACTGTTAACTCTGGTCTGTCCGTCCATCCATCTATGTATGTATCCACTGTCCATCTGTCAGTCCTTACGTTATGGATCTCTTGTTTGTTGACAAAATGTTTTAAAAAAGTTTTTTATAATATGTAGGGAACCCTAAAAGAGCGAGACTCGACTGCCTTTTTGGCAATAATCTCAATTATAATTGACTTCCTCATTGAGGTCTAGTTATAATGATCTTAAGCACGACTACTGATCATGTGGTCCCTAGTTCGAATCCGGTTTCGGGCCAAAAAACAATTATATTTGGTTTTAAATTAAAAATGTCTTCTGTCAAGAAATTTTGAGTAGCAGCCCATAGTCAAAAGGTTGGGTGGATTTTAACCCCCGTGTGCCTTGGAAAGTCGGATTTCCGTCTTATCGTACTACAAGAGTGAGTTTATGACGTCATCATTATTCTTCCTTCGATATCGTATACCTACCGCATTTTATAAAATTCTGCGCGTACGGTGCCGGTGTAATGTGCGAGGTTTCATATGATTTCATACAACGAATTCTAAAATTCGGCGCGTACGGCGCCTACGGCGCGAACAAATGTGCGTTCAGCTTAAGCCTACTGTGTTTCACGACACGAGGCATTCTGTCGCACCCCTGAAAGGTAGATGAAGGTAACTATGGACCACAGCATCTACTTACCATCAGGTGTGACTGTGTGCTCGCTTATTACTCTTATTCAATAATAAATAAACCTATTTCGTCCATATATAACATACACTCACACACATAAACACACTTGCATATGCATGCATATGTGATGTTCACATTTTTGACCACGGTAATATCTTGACCTTAATAGATTGACCTTAAACCGTGAAAACTTGAAGTTGTTTTCACTGAATATATTTTGTTTACTTTCTTAAAGTTCCTCAAAGTTCAAGACCCCTGTGTTTTCTACAACAGCCCTGTCTTTACTAGTTAGCTAGTGAAGTTATGCAGGGGCCGGATTAGGTTTATTTAATACCTAACGGTTTTGTTTTTGTTTTGTTTTATTTTAAAAATAAAAATTTATTTATTAAAACAATTGGGCCAGATTAGGAGTACCCTTAACTGACGAGCGTGTATGCGTAGATATAAGTATGTAAATGAGGCGAGAGAGCTGTCTCAGGATCGCGCCAAATGGAATTCCGTAGTCTCTGCCTACCCCTCTGGGTGACAGGCGTGAGTGTTTGTGTTGTGTTTGTAAAACTTAATTTCCAGCAGAATTCGCTTAAGACTAACTTAAAATTCTATGCCTAAAACAATTGCACGAGAGTCCATGCAAAAACTCAGCAGTTTCCGTTTGTCCATTCCACATCTGCATGTGGTTTGCACTCAGAGCATTCTGCTGACAAGAATATCTTAGTGGTTCTCGCCACCCGTAACATGCTCTTTTCTGCCGATTTCTAAAAAGGAGACGGTACTCAATTCGACGCGTATGTTTTTTTTATGTGTGTTACCTCATAACTTTTTACTGGGTGAACCGATTTCGATGATTCTTTTTTTTATATGAAAGCTGATATTTCCCGTGTGGTCCCATATGAATTTGACCAAGGTCAGGCCAACAGTTTTTGAGTTATTTGAGTTATTCTTAATAACTTATATTTTAGTCGGCTGTACAAAATTTTTAATTTTAAATTATACTATCAATCTACAGACACAAGATCCAAATAGGGAGTTTTGGCGGGAAATTAACCATCGGCGGATTGCTGCCCTTTATCGATAGTGGTTTAAATTTGGCTAGTACATAAGTGGTACAATTTTGTGTATTAAATGTCTGCGCAAGTGAACTATTAATGGAAACGATGAAACAAGTGCTCCGATTGTGATGTGAACCTTAAATTATGCTGCCATCAAAATAGCTCAAAAACTGCATCAATTTAATGTATTGAAATTTTTTAAACTAATTGTTAAAAAGGATATTTTTTATTACTTGACACTGGCAAAAGTACACATGTATGTGTACATTACCAAATAAAGTAAGATTCATATATTTTCCGAATCGTTATAAGTACTTAAGGTTTCTATTGGACACGGAAAGATTTTTTTTTTTTGGAAATAGATAAATAGTAGAGATGCGCAAAACAGTGCGTTTTAAAGTGATGTAATATGACATTGCATTTCATTCCGAGGAATGTTATGTTATACCATGACTCCAAACATGACGTGAAATGACACTACACAGGGTGGCTATTGTAATGAAATGAGCTCGCGTTGTAGAAGATATGCTTGCGTTGTGATGTGACAATTGCCAAACGCAATGCCCTCGCTACTCGCTGCGCCGGAATGAACGCTAGATTTTGTTATCATATTCATAAAGTCGATTTTTCTTCACACTTTATCCCAATAGACTGAACTATTAAATCAAAATGGCATTCCGGGCTTATAACTGACACTAAACATTTTTTTTTAAATAGAAATAGGGTGATAAACGAGCACACAGTCCTCGTGATGGTAAGTGGTTGCTGTGACCCATAGACATCTACATGTATCCTCGTTTGCGAATCAAAATGCAGATGCGTTGTCAGCCTTGAGGACTCAGATGGAATGCCTCTTTTCCAGTAAAATGGGTCTCCAGTTCTCTACACTCACCGTACGAAACACAGCAGTGTCAAGCTGCCATTTTACACTGGTATTTCCTATATATATAAAAGTACTCTGTGACTGGTATTCTGTGAGAGCGTACCTTCCACGGTTGAGCCGACCCATTCGTGCTACAACTATACTACTAATATAGCTGCAGCATGGCTCTACCACGCCATAAAAAATATAGATTGCAATATTGATTAATTGACCAATACTATGAATAGGTTTTTTTTTATTTGTTTTACATTATGTTTTTTTTAATACCTAACGGTTTTGTTTTATTTACATGTTATCATTTTTAATTACAACTAATAAATAATAATTGTAATAGTTTTTTTTGTCTTTAGACATTCAAGAAAGTGATATAGAAAGCACAAGACGTAACGGCTGGGTAAGCCGCAAGAGAAAAAACTAAAACATATTATACACACATTATATACATATATATATAAATTACGTGTCACGTTGTTTGTCCGCGATGGACTCCTAAAGTACTGAACTGATTTCAATGAAATTTTACACACTGTGTGCATTTTGGTCCAACTTAAGAGATAGGATAGCTTTTAGCCCGATAAAAGGCCATCAAAATTTATTATTGCGAATTTATATAAAATACATACAATCTAGTATTAGGAATTATACTATATAAACCAATAACATTGATCAAGTAATTTTTTTAATTGATTTGTTACGTGGTAGAGCCATGCTGCAGCTATATTAGTAGTATAGTTGTAGCACGAATGGGTCGGCTCGACCGGGGAAGTACCACGCTCTCACAGAAAACCAGCGTAAAATAGCAGCTTAACGCTGCTGTGTTTCGTATGGTGAGTGTAGAGAACCGGAGACCCTTTTTACTGGCAAAGAGGCATTCCATCTTAGTCCTCACGGGCGACAACGCATCTGCATCTTGAGTCTTTATTGAGGATGGATGTAGATGTCTATGGGTCACAGTAACCACTTACCATCAGGTGGACTGTGTACTCGTTTGTCACCCGATCCAATAAAAAAAAGTAATTTTAAATAATGTGCCTCAAACTTACATTTCAATGTATTTAAATGTTTAAATGTATGTATAGAAGTAGGGGTGTCACGCGGGTGCAGACAAACATGCTTGTATTAAGAATCAAAATGCAGATGCGTTGTCAAACTAACAACATAGTACAGTACATTGTTCCCAGATAAAGGGTCTCCAGTTCCCTTCACTTAACAGACCAAACCCGACAGCGTTTTATAATGCTGTACATGCATTTAAAATTATTTTGTTCAATAGGTGAAAGAAAAAACCGACCAAGAGGTGACCGGAAGTCGCAGGAAATGTCTTTACACTTACGACAATCGTTAACTGCAGCGATCAAAACAGAACTTTACCCTCGTTCACAAATTGATGTTTACGTTGAAGTGTTACAGGTTTGTATTGTTTTTAAAGTTTCTGCATTACTGGAATGTAAGCTTGACTTGGGCAGCGCAGAGAACACCTGACACTTCCAAATACTGAGAGTCAGTAATAGAGAAGGAGGTCTATGCCTAGTAGTAATTTGACGGTTCCGTAACGCAGTGGCTAAGCGTTTGGTTGTGACGCTGCGGGGTCGCGGGTTCAAATCCTGCACAAAACAAGTGTTTTTGTATGGCTTACAAATAATTATTCCGTGTCTGGATGTGGGTATTTGTACAATTTATGTGCGCAAAACCGTTTTTCAAAAAAACATTAGAAATAAAAAAAAAATTGTAGTGGGATGTTTAAAAGCTAAAAACAAATCAGATAGAAAGATTCTTTGGAGGCAGCCAGATATTTAGATACTATATGGAGTGACAATAATGTTAAACATACAAGGATTGAGTAGATGCGGAATCTCGGAAACAGTGCATTGTGACAGTTGGTGCGAGAGGGTGGGGCTGATGGGCTAGGGAGGGGGGGGGGGGGCACTATATTTGTGAATCATAGGTTGTAATAGAATGTGATAATCTAATCATGTAGATAACATGATATTGCAGATGAGATCGTAACAATACACTGGTTGACATGGGCCACCTCTTACAGGAAGTTTTTGCCTTAACTGCCACACTTAGCACATTAACTAACAATTGCTGTCTCAAAGGCTTAACTGTTTTGACGCTGCTCCCCGTTGCCGGTGTATATGTTTTCCATCTGGTATATGCAAGATAAGAATTTCTATCCTTTACCATAATTTCTTCTTACGACACCCACGGGACAAAATGTTACTGTTTCTACTACAAGATGATCGTAATATAACAAATAATATATTATGTAATATTATCCTCTTAAAATGTATTACATACTATCTTCCTCTTCCATGACGATGACGTCCTCTTGGTCACTTTTGACCACGACGTAAAATAGTAGCTTAGTGCTGCTGTGTTTCGTATAGGGAGTGTAGAGAACTGGAGGCCTTTTTTTTACCGGAAACGCGGCATTCCATCTTAGTCCACCGGGGGTGACAACGCATCTGCATTTTGATTCTCTATCGTGTGTAGATCACCTACACCTACATATATATGGGCCAAAGCATTCACTTACTATCGGGTGGACTGTATTGCTCGTTTTTTGTTATAGAATAAGGCTGACAAACAAACACAGTCCACCTAATGGTAAGTGGTTGCTATGACCCATAGATGTCTACATCTATCCTCGTTTGCGAATAAAATGCAGATGCGTTTTTAGCCGTGAGGACTAAGATGGAATGCCTCTTTTCCAGTAAAAGGATCTCCGGTTCTCTATACTCACCAAACGAAACATAGCAACATTAAGCTGCTATTTTACGCTGGTATTCTGTGAAAGCGTGATCCTTTCCCGGTAGAGCCGACACCCTTTCGTGCTACAAATATACTATTAATATAGCTGTAGCATGGCTCTACCACGTTTGTCACCATTCTTCTATATTAAAAAAAAAACTGCGACATCTCCAAGGTCGACGACGGAAGGTTTTCACGACATTATAGTATCACACAGACTACAGGCCTTTATTTCAGGCTTTAACTCAGACATTAAATATTGAGTTTTAAGTTTAGAAGTTACTAACACATTTTTTCTTCATCTAATCAATATGGATATCATTAATGATTATTTTCTCCAGGCAGACGGCGGTGCATACTGTGCTTCCGTTAACGCGGCAACGTTAGCCCTAGTCGACGCTGGTATACCGCTCAAAGCATACGCTTGCGCATGTACTGCGTCCATAGCATGGCGTGGAAGTGAACCCGAGCCTTTAGTGGATGTCGGTCATGTTGAAGAGGCGGCTGGCGGAGTCTGTCTCACTGTTTCCAGTCTTCCCTCTACACGTTAGTATGAACAACTGAGTAAGAAGAGTTTAGCAAGTTACGTCTATTCGAAAAATTATCAAGTTTGGAGGCATACATCTATACAGATAAATAATATTAGTGTCTGTTTGTAATGTCAAAATGACAGCTTTATACTAAAAGCATATGAAAGTATTTACGGTACTTATAAAAAAAATTAAATTTTTGTCTGTCTGTTTGTTCCGGCTGATCTCCGAAACGGCTGGGCTGATTGTTGACGTGACATTCACTGGCAGATAGCTAATGTTATAAGGAGTAACTTAGGCTACTTTTATTTTAGTAAAAGAATTTGGGTTCCGCACAACAACAAAAAAACCTATGAAATCCAATCGTAACAAATTCCACGCGGGCGAAGTCGCGGGGAACAGCTAGTTTATTATATAACTCGCTGTGTAGTGGAGGCGTAAGAATTTCCACTACCACATACTACTTAGGACACCTACGGGGTAATATGGTATATGTACGTTACCCTGTAGGTATCTTAAGAGACGATAGAAGGAAATTAAAATATAAAAAATAATAACCGAAAAAACAATTCTCGGACTTGGATAGACTGCTGTTCTCCATCAAGTTGGAAATATGGTGGCATCGAAAATATACTCACACTTAGCCCTTTTGTGCGATTATTTGGCTGTATTTAAGCAAGCTAATATAATCCATTCGATGTACAGGACACAGGTCAACAAATTAAGATTATGATAGCGTAAGTTCAAGGTCACTTCAAATAAATCAAGTCTAGTGTTTTTATGTTACAGGAAGCGTAGCCCTACTAGAGTTGTCGCACAAACTTCACATGGACTATTTCGACGTAGTGCTCAGCAGAGCGATGCAAGGATGCAGGGATATCGAGGTAAGCTTGTTTAAAGTTACACCCTACATACGTCCCACTGCTGGGCACAGGCCTCCTCTCATTTCTGACAGGGTTTTAGCGCTGCCCCAATGCATGTTGGCGAACTTCATATGTCTTCGAAATAATTTTTTTCTTATTTCTCAGACATGCAGGTTTCCTCACGGTGTTAACCTTCACCGCCGAGCACGTGGTATATCGGCACTTAAACAACAATTATATTAATAAAATTATAATTATATAAGTAACAATTTTATTGGTGCCGGCGGGGATCGAACCAGGGTTGCTCGCGGTACTGTGATACTTACAGCGGGCGCCAACCATCTGAATACCACAGCTCTCTTCGCTTGTTTATGTATGGAATTTTCAAATTTTGAAATTATAAGATTTTTCCGGACCGATACGACTTAGGGACCTTCAAGAAAAGAGCCTACTCCTTTTTAAAAGGCCGGCATCGCATCTGCAATTCCCCTGGTTCCCCTGGTGTTGCAGTGCTTCATGGGCGGCGGCAGTCACTTATCAGGTGAGCCGCATGCTCGTTTGCCCCCTCCTATAAAAAAAATTATAGTTATTTTGTTAGGCGTACTATACATATTGCCTATACCTTACCGTTTGGCGGTGTAAAAATTTTCACTACCCCATACCATCCCACTGCTGTCTTAAGAGGTGACAGAGGGAAACAAATCAGGAGATGGACCGCAGCGTCTTCCTAGTAACGACTAAAAAATAAAAAACGGCCGTTGCCAATCCGCTTACCAAGCGTGGCAACTATGGCAAACTCCCTAATGCGTGTTGACGAAGTTCACATGTTTTTAAAATTATTGTTTATTTTTTTTAATTTCTCAGGCATGTAGTTTTCAGTTACAGTTACCACGATGTTTCGCTTAACCGCCAAGCAAATGTTAAATCATTCCTTATAATTGCAATTAACAATTTCATAGGTGCCGGCGGAAATAGAAGCCGCATTAAAATCGACGCGTGGATAAAATTTATGTGATGTGGAAAAATCGGCCATAAATTAAAATTGACTTCAATCAACATTTATCCAGTGAATTTAGTTGAAAATCATGTACCAGAATGTTGCGATATCGATATTGCGATATAATTGCTGCACCTTTTTTTAAGTCATTTTTTTTATATAGAAGAGGGGCAAACGAGCATGCGGCTCATCTGATGGTAAGTGACTACCGTCGCCCACGAAAAACTGCAACACCAGGGGAATTGCAGATGCGTTGCCGGCCTTTTATAAAAGAGTACGCTCTTTTATTGAAGCTCTCTAAGTCGTATCGGTCCGGAAAAAGCGCATTTTAGAAGCCAATTTAGCCTTCCTTTCCAAGTGACCACCAAATTGCTCGTCATTCGATATGTCGACGCCGAGGATTCCTATGATAGCTGAGGCAGCAATGGGAGTGTCCTGAAATTGAAGAGAAACGACAAAGGGGTTCTTTTTAGCGGTAAACGGGGAAACCTGTGTCCCCTGAGAGTTAAACTGGACTAGATTTAGTCATCCCCAATCCGAGACTATGTTCAACAACGAGTCTACTTCAGATACTTAAAATCGCCAAGGATCGCGATCTCTGCGAATGGGACTTTCTGTAGCAAAGAGCCATATTAGCCCATTTTGAGATGGTGGATGACATGATGGATGGACAGGTTCGAACCTTCAAGACTGCCGAGGCGTCGTATACGTCAGAGAGAACAGAAGTACTCTCTGACGTATACGCAAACTCCAGCCCGAGGCACAAAGGAATGTTCAGCTTGCTCCGAGCAGTTTTTGTTATGAGCCTGCCCCCCCCCCCCCTCCCCCTACAGAATACGCGGGGCAACCTGAGCACCAACGCTTAGGAGGAGTGCAGTAGCTTGGTCGTGGATGCTCAGCGATGGATTCTCCGTAGAGCCATGCTCAGCTATATATAGCCGCTTAGCGCTGCTGTATTTCGTATGGTGTAAGACCCCTTTTACTGGAAACAGAGGCATTCCATCTTAGTCGTTTGGTGAGAACGCATCTGCGTTTTGATTCGTAGTCGAGGATAGATGTAGATGTCTATGGACCACAGCAACTACTTACCATCAGGTGGACTGTGTGCTCGTTTGCCACTCTATTTCATAAATAGGCTCTACCACTGTTAAAAACATCTACACTACCACTGTTGCCGGAGCTTAAATAAACCCAAGCGGTTTCGCCGGTCGGGGGCCAAATATTATATATTACCTGTATAGAATTTGCTTTTTCATTAACTTAGGTGAACTGCGTCTTGGTTTGTCACCCTACTTCTATAAAAAAAATTAAAAGGGTAACGCCAAATCGACTATACGAGTATAAATATATTATGTAGGTACTTACAGCACGCCCTTAGCCATCATTTCTTTTCTTTATCGTACATAACACTGTGACGTTTACTAGACCGATTCCGAATTCCGAACACAGCATCATCTTGCGAATACTATCGCAAGTTGACAACTACCTACTACACATTATTATTACCGCAATTTACCGTTTTCTTCCAAAATATCACTGCAGGCAATATGTAAATAAACTAAATTTTATTTACAGGTCATTCTAGATCGAGCCGTACGAGAACATTTGGCAGAAGGATGGACAAAGCAAGATGTCGTTACGATATGAAATTATATATATATTATAATTTTTATAAGAAATACATGCGTTTTATTATATTAAGTCCTTACTAATGTACTAACCAAACAATTCTAATTTCGTTTCAACTGTACAAATTATCTGGTAAATATGGGCCTCACTTGCTGGTATCTCTAAAGCTGCCAAATGAGAACATTTCTTCGTTTAGCTTCAGTTTGCTAATTCGATAGCCCATGTCGGTTACAACGGTTCTACTGCGCTATTCTCGTAACGGATTCGTGTTGTGTTTCTTGCCCCAGCCTACTCCTGAGTATATATATATATATATAATCTAAAAACCCGATTACTGATTTTGTCCCGATCTGGGATTATTCATATTCGGGATATCACAGCCATGTAAACCACTAACAAGAATGTGAATGAAAAATGTGATGAGGGAGGGCGATGTATTCTCTATAGAAAGAATTTTATTTTATGTAAATAAGATGGTGTTTACTTAATTTCTTTTTATTTCAAAACCTCCACAAGCGCGCGTTATACGTGGTAGAGCTATGCTACAGCTATATCAATAGTACAATTGTAACACGAATGGGTTGGCTCGACCGGGGAAGGACCACGCTCTCACAGAATACCAGCGTAAAATAGCAGCTTAACGCTGCTGTCTTGTTTGGTGAGTGTAGAGAACCGGAGACCCTTTTTACTGGAAAAGAGGCATTCCATCTTAGTCCTCACGGCTGTCAACGTATCTAAATTTTATAAGCAAATGAGGAGGATAGATGTAGATGTCTATGGGCCACAGCAACCACTTATCATCAGATGGACTGCGAGCTCGCTTGTCACCCTTATCCTATAAAAAAGCCCCCCTTTGTAACCTCGCGCCCCCTAAAGGATAATCCGCCACTGCCGGTAAGAATATTTGTATTGATTTATTTTTCAATGTAACCCTGTATTTTTGGAGAAAAACACAATCAAAGGTGACCGTGCTAGCCAAACGCTTTCAGTTTCAGCACGACACCGTGCAATAAAAAAAGTACTCGTATGTATTAAAAATATTCATGTTCCTAATCTATTAACATGTTACGAGGGCGGCACTGAAAATTTCGGGAATCAAGAAAGTGACACAACATTACTATTTAAAAATGTATTTATTGCTTTTCGAAGCATTCTCCGCGAAATTTGACACATTTTTCCATACGATGGAACCAATCATTGAAGCAACCATTCCATTCGGAAGTTGGGGTCTCCAAAATGGCCGTTTTGCAGGCGTCCACAGCTTCTTCAGGTGATGAAAATCTCTGTCCACGCAATTTATTCTTTATTTTAGGGAAAGTATAGAAATCATTAGGGCTTAGGTCGGCGCTGTACGGCGGATGGTCTAATAATTCTATGTTTTCTTGCTCTAAAAACTTTTGTTCTGTGTGCGGTGTGAGAACTCGCATTGTCGTGATGGAGGATGATGCGGCGGTTGCAGTTCTCTTTACAGAGTTCAGAAACGACCTGTGGCAAACAAATACTAGCATACCATTCTGCATTAACCGTTCTTTGTCCCTCAAGAGGAATAATCGTAACATGACCGGTTTTGGAGACAAACGTGGCCACCATTTTTTTTGCAACACTCTGTGAACGAACAATTTTTGTTGGCTTTAACTCATTTTCGAACATCCAAACTCGTGACTGGTTTTTTGTTTCGGGTTCGTACGCGTATATCCAGGATTCGTCACCTGATACGATGTTGTATACAGCATTTGAGGATCCTGCGTGGAATCTTCCGAGAGTTCTGACGCACCAAGTAACGCGAGCCGCTTTTTGCTCTTCACAGAGCGAATGCGGTATCCATCGGGAAAACAACTTTTTTACACCTAAATGTTCATGCAAGATTATTTGTATTTGACTCATGCCAATGTCTAAAGTTGCCTGAATTTCGCTGTATGTCACATGTCGATCATTCTCAATCAGCTTACGCACAGCATCAACGTTTTCTTGGGTGACTGCAGTTTTTGGACGACCTTGACGGGGGTCATCACTGAGCTTGACACGTCCACGTTGAAATTCAGCAAACCAGCGATAAATTGTGGTTTTGGATGGGGCTTCATCACCAAATGCAGAAACATCCGGTCAACACACTGTTTTTGTGTTAAACCACTTCGAAAGTCATAATAAATCATCGCTCTTGAATTTTTTCGAGTCAATTCCATTTTCTCAACGACTAAACAAGTTTGACAAAATCTTGTGACAAGACCAAGAATCTTTTTTAAATAAATAAATGGTATTCGATTTTTAAAACCAAGGAGTTTTCAATTTTTAATATGACAGGAACAGTGGGAATATGCCATTCCCGATACTTTTAGTGCAGCCTATGTATATGTACCGCAACAGAAATTGTGAGTTCCCCGAAACAAAACTCTCTTTTTTTGCGGGGGGATCGCTCGGTGACTGCGACAACTTTTTTTATAGCATGCAGCTCACCTGATGGTAAGTGACTACCGCCGCCCATGAACAACCGCAACACCAGAGGAATTGCAGATGCGTTGCCGACCTTTAAGAAAGGTGTAAGCTCTTTTCTTGAAGGTCCCTAAGTCGTATCAGTCTGGAAAAAACGCCGATGGTAAACAATTCCACAGGAAAGTTGTACGAGGAAGAACACTCGCAGTAAAACGCACAGTCGTGGACCGCCAAGCATCCAGATGGTGAGGATGGTATCGTGAATTTTGACGCCATGTGCTTTCGTGAAATTTGACGGCTGGAATTAATCCGAACAATTCCTCAGAGCACTCCCCGTGGTAAATTCGATAGAAAATGCAAAGGGATACAACATCCCAACGCAGTGCCAGTGTATCGAGCCGATCAGAAAGAACTCGGTCGTCGACGATTCGAACCGCTCTGCGCTGGATGCAGTCAAGTGGAAGGAGCTGGCACTGGGGTGCTCCAGCTCAGAGATGAGAACAGTATTCCATGTGAGGCCGAACTTGCGCTTTGTAAAGTTGCAAGCGATGTGCCGGCATGAAATACTGTCTCTCTCTGCTGAGCACGCCAAGCTTTTTAGAGGCCAATTTGGCCTTCTCTTCCAAGTGACCACGAAACTGCACACTATTCGATATGTCGACGCCGAGGATTCCGATGCTAGCTGAGGCAGCAAGGGGAGTGCCTTGAAACTAACGAGATACGACAAAGGGATTCTTTTTTGCGGTAAACGCGCAAACTTGTGTCTTCTGAGGATTGAACTGGACTAGATTTAGTCGGCGCCAATCCGAGACTTTGTTCAGCAAAGACTCGACTTCAGACACAAGTTTGTCCAGGTACTCGGCGACGTTTTCCCGAGAAATATTGGCACGGCCGGTATATAAGGCATCACCAGCGCTGTCGTCTGCATAGCAATGAATGTTACCAGTTTGCAACATATCATTGATATGCAGGAGAAACAGAGTTGGTGATAGCACGCATACCTTGTGGAACACCAGCGTTGAGCAAGGAAACTGGTGGATATCTCGGGAAGCCCATAGAAAGGAAGCTTCGAAAGAAGCGCTTTGTGCCAGACCCGATCGAAGGCCTTCGCTATGTCCAAAATAACGGCCAATGCCTTCCCCTTGGACTCTACTGCCTCCACCCATCTATGAGCCAGGTAGACCAGAAGATCACCAGCTGATCGACCCCGACGAAAACCGTACTAGTGGTCACTAATCATCTGGTAATCCTCAAGGTACCTCATGAGCTGGCAGTTTATAATGGATTCCATTAGTTTGGAGAACAAGGAGGTGATGGCGATAGGCCTGTAGTTGGACGGGTCTGAGCGTTCGCTTTTTTTGGAATCGGGTGGACCAAAGCTTTCTTCTATGAGTTCGGAACTACGCCTTAGGAGTAGGAGTACCGGAAAAGACGCGTTAAAACTGGTGCCAACTCCGGAGCACACGTCTTTAGCACAATGGGAGGGACTCCATCAGCCCCACTCCACTTACTGACGTCCAGAGAGAAGAGTGTTTTGCGAACTGAGCGCTGTGTAAAGCGCACATCCGTCATGGAGCACTCGCACCGCGGGATGGTTGGCAGTGTATTCCCCCCGTCATCTAGAATCGAGTTGGACGCAAAGAGAGAGCTTAACAGATCGGCTTTCTCCTTTGCGGCATGGGCCAGTGAGTCGTCCTCTCTGTGCAGAGATGAAAGAGATGGCTGTTCTGCTGGCAGAAGTTCCCTTGGACAGCCTTGGTGAGAGACCGGAATGCACGGGTTGCCCCCTATCGTCACGGGGGCCCCCAAAAGGCCGATATATTCGCTTACACTATGCAATCTTTTTTCTGTTTTAGGAAAATATAACCCGACACAAAATTTTTAAGAGTACATAAGGCCGTTGTTAGTGACTTTCTGGAAATCCTGAGCAGTGACAAGCTACACATTGCCGAGTTTGACAGAAAAAGTGGCATTGAGTGTTTTCTTAGGTAGAAAATATGTAGTTCCACGTTTCGGCGCCATCTACACGTTTTTTCGAGCTGTACAATAGCCTTACTCATAGCTTGGATTTTTTTAAGTTGTCGACAATCTATGTATTTATATAATTACAGCTAATTAAATGTTGTTGATTAAATTGATAATATAAAAAGACACGAATATAGGTTAGTAGCTTAGCGAATTTTAATCGGACACGAGAATTTTTTTTTAATTTTTTACTAAAAAGTGAACATTTTAATAATTATTAAAAAATATCTAAAAGTACCTACATTGCAAATTCGAGTTTGCAGAGTCTATACAATGCACTACATAGAAGTCGACATTGTGTTTGGTTGGGGGATTTCCCGAAATTTCAAACTTGAGTTTGTGGTATGATTTTGTTTTGTTTCATAGAAATTATTTAAAATAATGAAAACTATATCTCCTGATCCTGATACGTATTGTGATGAAATTTTAACAGAAGAATTACGCGATATTTAGAAAAGGGTCATTATTTTTCCAAAATAAAAATGGTGACGAAACTTCTGCAAGTTTTCCAGATTCGAGCAATAAAAAAACTATATATTTAACTATAAGTATTTTTACCCGTA